AGTTGAACATTCCACAATGTTCTTTAGAAACACACCCTTCATGTAACACAGAATGCAATTATCACTACTTAAAGCTTGGTTAAGAAGTCACTTTGGGGGGAAAAGTACAGTACAAAAGCTAGAGGAGTTGAGTTTTTTCCTTTGCATACTAAGCATAGTGTTTCATCCCAATGCCTTTTGTGAGGTTTTGTGAGAACAGTATTTGCCAGGACATTGTTGGGATGCTTTTGTTTTTAGTGTTTCAATTGATTGATTTTCTTTTTAGTTTTTGCGGTTAAAAACCTAGTCGATAAACAATGTTTAATTTTTTTCAATGCTCTTATTCCCTGCTAAGGCCAGCCTGAGAGGAGAAGGTAAAGGTCAAGTGGCATAGGCATCCAAAAAGTGGTGGGAGGTGGATATGATGCTCATCCAGAGCAAGTTGCTGTTGTCATAGCAAAATGGCCTTTCTTTTTTTTTTGAGGAAGATTAGCCCTGAGCTAACTGCTGCCAATCCTCCTCTTTTGGCAGAGGAAGACTGGCCCTGAGCTAACATCCATGCCCATCTTCCTCTACTTTATATGTGGGACGCCTACCACAGTATGGTGTGCCAAGCGGTGCCATGTCCGCACCCGGGATCCGAGCCAGCGAACCCCGGGCTGCCAGAAGAGGAACATGCTCACTTAACCGCTGCGCCACCGGGCCGGCCCACAAAATGCCCTTTCTAACTCTCTTATGCTCTCAGGTACCTCCTTTGAGCATAACCACAGAATGGCAAGGGGCTTGGTAGGCATCATCATTGGTTTGCTTCCATTTTCCAAAGGAGGGGATTGAAACAAAGCAATCAAGGATCCAGTCCTAGGATCAGACAGTGAGGTTTTCTCCCTTTCTTTTTAATGTGTTTGGCTAATTGTTACAAATAAGCGTCCTGTTTAACTATCATACACAATTTTGATCTCTTCCTCTTTCTTTTTTCTTTTTTTCCCAAACTCTAATGTCATGGAACCATCTGGGGTTAGGGTTGCCTGTTTGCTAAATCTGGCATCCGTTTCTGTGATATTCAAAATGCAGATTCCTGAGTCATTTCCTAGAACCAGTGACTGGTAAATCTCTGAGAGAGAGGATAAGGAATCTACGTGGTAAACGTGTTCTTCAGGGGATTCTAATGCCATCCTTGAATTAGACTTTGTGAGAAATACTGATCTGAATGATTCTGAGCTTTAAGTGGCCACATTGCTTTCATCAGGAAAAATCAGTAGTAATTCCAACCAGATTTTCTACTTTGTTACATTCAGGTCAAATATAGCCTGTGCTGTTTCAGTTGCTGAAACAAATGGGAACGTTAATTCTAGTCTTGCTCACTATGACTCCTGATGTATCATTCAGCACTTTCTACCACCACTACCGTCATCACTATCTGACCAGCAGAGTGACTTTAAGAGCCTCAGTGAGCACCCAGGTCAACAGCAGTGATCCACTGCACCTCTCTTGACTGTTGATTGTCTCCATTCATAGCTATGATTACTTGTTTCTTCATGCTGTTTCTTCCTAGGAGTCTCCTTTGTTTCTTCACTTTTTACCCAAAAAGAAAGAGCAATTTGTCTTCCAACTTATGCCATTGGTCCACATACCTCAATTTCATTAGGAGGTTCCTTACATTTCGCTTCTTAACAAAGATTTTCCCAGGATAGGTAAGAGAATGAAAGCTTGTAAGGGAGAGTGAAGATTGTATTCCTGGGTGAAAAATTATCCTCCTGGGTTAAGTTTTAAATTTATCTTATTAGGAAATTTGAAGTTTAAAAAATTCAAATAGTAAATTCAAAGTTTAATTGTATAGAATCATATAGTGAGGTAGGAATCCCATTTTCTTTTAGTCTGACTCAGTCTTTTGGAGTCTGTATTCTCATGTAATGAATACAATATGTATCTCAGGATGTTATTGTGAGGATTAAATGAAGTATATTACAGCTCCTGGTATAGTTCTGAGGTGTTTAGAAAATTTTGGTTAATTTAGATGTTGGTTGCATCTAATGACAATTAGGAAACCTTTCTCAACCTTAGACTAAGATAATATTTTGAAAGTCTGTTGTTTTTGTAAATTTTTCTTTGAGCAATCTAAAATAATCACATTCTTATAAAGATCTAGAACTTAGGACGTTATAATTGTGTTTCACTGTTTTTCTCATTGCCTTTTTTTACCAATAAAAGATACTGTATTGATGAACCCCAAGGGCAAATTATCCCTCTGGCAATTACCCTGCTAAGTAGTATGGGTTTCTTTGATTGTGTATCTGTTTTTTCCTTCCTTTTCTTTCTTCTAAGATCCCTCCCAGTTCAGTCCTTGCTCCCCATCCCCACCCACAGGAGCTTATGATATAGGCATACAGTGTGGTCTCCACCATCACAACCTGTTACATGGCAGCACAATAGGAAAAGAACATTGATTCTGGAGTCAGAGGACATGCATTTGACTAATTTGCTACTTCTGAGTGTGGTAATCTTACAAAGATTAGCTGAGATAATATACATGAAAGAACTCTACATGAAGTATAAAAGCGTAAATCTCCCTATGATTAGGGATTTATGTAAGTAAGAGTATTAACATTTATTGTATGGCCTAATATATGCCAGGCACTTCACGTACGTTGTCTTCTCTACTATAACCCTATAAGGTAGGAGATACTAGTCCCATTTTACAGATAACTAGCCTCAAGCCACATGATTGTAAAGTAGTAGAGCATGATTTAAATCAGATTTGTCACTCACCACACCGCTGTCCTCATTGCTTTAGGAACAGCACAGGTCAGGCCATTCTTGGTCCTGCCTCTTAGCTACCAAGGGGAGAGGGAAGGAGTAGAGGAGACAATGGAAGAAGACGCTCTGTGTTTGCAGTCAGCAAATAAGGAGCTATCTGAGAAAATAGGCTGTTACTGACTTGTTAGGACATATTTCTGCCACTGGCTGTGTGACAAAACTGAAAAGGCCAGAGAAGCCATAGCACCAACGAGAGTTTCTTCACGAGGGCAGGGCTGGGCCCCTCGTCTGCCACCCACTATCCCTTTATCGCTGTAATTATTTTTCCCTCTGTCAAACAGGAGTGATTGATTTATTATATTTTTTAAATGAGTATTATAAAAATTTTAAGCTTTATTATGTTATTAGGATGATTATGTAATTTTTAAACCTAGAAAAGTGATAAAACCTAAAGGTTTATGGAGTCAAAAAGTTTAATGGAGTTTAGACTCACTGAACTTTAGCAGTGTTTTTCCCCTTGAACACAAATGAAGTCAAAGTTTTCACCTGGCCTAAGGCCCCAGGTGACGTCAGCCAGTCAGGTGAAGCTCTTTCCTTCTGTGTCAGTGCAGTCTTCCATAGGGCCCTATTCGGGTTTGTCAAAACAGTGGGAGTACCTCTCAATGGGAAAGTGGAAGCTGAGCTACTTCTGTTCTTGGTGAGGGGTGATTATTATAATCAAGCAAAACTGAGGAGGTATGATGAGAAATTAATTTTTAAGAAATAGAAATTACAGAGAAAGATTCTCATTATTATACCTCAGCATTGGCTTTAGGCTTTTAGGACTATTTAAATTACCAGAACCATTTTTGCCTATCTGCTTATCTGCTGTTGATAAGGGGGCCTCAATACATTTGTAAAATTTCAGACTGCTTGATGGTTTGTACACCTGAAAATGTTGACTGGATCTAGTATTGCACATTGTCAGAGACCAGGTCTTCTTACAGGACTTTCAATAAGTAATTATTTCTACTTTACGTAAGTGTTATTAGGCTTAGCAATGTGGATACTTTCGTGAATAAGACTGGCAAACAATATTGGAAGTTATTAAATTTATTTAACATAAGTCCCTAACTCTCCCCTCAAAACAAAAGAAAACAAATCTCAGTCTTCTCCATATGGAAGTAAAGAAGGTTTTCCTTCCACATTTTCAAATTTAAACATCTAAATTGTATTTGACTTTAAACTTTGCAACGAAAGCAAAACAAGCATGTAAAGTGATGGAGAATGTTCAGGAAATTATACCATGGCCTAATGTTTTGCTGCTTTTCATTTTGGCCATTCACACCCGAAAGGGTTACTTATTTTCTTTGTAAATGAGGCAACAATGTGGAAGAAAAATCACTTACAGTGGGAAAGATTCGAATATTCTAGTTGATATTTAAAGTAGCACTCATGAGCTGCGTGGTAAAATTGGAATGATATGTACAACAAGTTTTAAAGTCATGACAGGCCTTTAAAATGTCAGGGAGATTAAAATGGAAAAAGGCCGGTGTGTCTGGTTCATGAATTTTGGTCATGAACATGTTGTATTCAAGAACCATTTTTATGTCCCTGTGCTTCTAGGCCTTGCTGCTTCAAACACAACTTAGGTGGAATATTTTCTTAATAATTACACTTAAGCACCTGATGATCTAATGAAGATGATTTCTTAATGTGTCAAAATGAGCTCTTTGTATCTTATTTGAACTTTTGTTGCCTTAAGCTAATCTGCTTTGGGCTTCTCACATCCAGGCATTTTACAAGGCAGGCTCTAGCAGGGGCATTCATTTGGAATGCTGCCTTTTGTTTACTCGCTTTCCCAGACTCTCACTGCTTCCTTTGGTCATCTGGCGTCTTCACTAATGTGATTGGTCCTCCTGGTCTCTGCAGGTAGCCAGGAGCCTTTATAAGTGGGATTTACGAGGGACTCACCACCCTGGCTGCTAATGAAGGGAGCCATGGGGATTTTGTTTTGTTTTCTTCAATCTGTCTTCCAAGAGTAAAGGAAAATTGTGCTCTGGGGTTGCAATCTCCTTTTTTTCCATTACTTTAATTTTTACAATTGATTTACTAACTGTGGTGCAAAAATACAAATATTTTTGTTTAGGAGTCAGAATGTTTTCATCTGCCAGCACTTCATGCTAATCCCTGGAATTGTTTATTGTTGAACCTGGAAAGAACACAGTGTCGTCTCTGTTTAAATTCAACCAACTGACATTTCACCTTCATCTGTTTTTGTCTTTCAGGAGATTTTTGAACAATTTGGCCGATTTAAAAAAAAGGAAAGTATATGACTGGGAGCCTTGGATTCTAGCACCATCCTTGCCATTTAGTGCTTCTCTAATCTTGAGTAAGTCACTTACACTCTTTTGGTTTCTCATCTGAAAAAAAAAAGGAAAGTGTTACCAAGGTACATATGAGATCCAAGATGAAGTTTCACATTCTTCTAGCTTTCTTCTCTTTTTACTACCAAAGTGAACTACCATGGCCTTTCTTTGATTTTTGGGTAAACCTACCATTGAGAAACAAACTTGCATCTGATCAAATGCTTTAACCAGTAGTCAAAGCAATAATTAAAGTGTCAGGGTCTTCATTTTAGAAGCAATGTGCTTTTCAGATTATAACCCAGTTTTATAGAGAAAGGATTTATTTGCCTTTTCCAAAAGTGAAACATGGAGCCCATGTTTTAGTCATGCTTTATAAGACAATGGTTCTCAGGTATGGTTTAAAGGTCTTCCATGGGTCATGGATTCCTTGGGTTTTAGAATGAGAAAGGACATCCGCAATCATTGGGTCCAATCCTTTAAATTTTACTAACAAGGACTCAGACAGCCCAGAAATGCTTAGTAGATCATCCATGGTCACAGAGCCAGTAGAGCTGCCAGTAGGGCCCAAACTCCAATGACAAAATGGCACATACCAGGGTAGAGGTGTCCGAATGAAAAACAGAGAGTGAAAGCTTGAGAGGAGGGACCGTTTATTCCAAATCTGAAAACTTATAAGTCACTTTTCACAGTATTAGATAGTTCATTAGTTTCTACATTGTGGCTCCAGATTAAAGTCAGTCTGATCCTACAAATGTTTAATGAGGACATACTGGGTGTGAGGCTTTGAACTGAGGTGCTGCCCCTGCAAAACTGTGCAATGTCACAGTTGCTGCCTCAGAGACTTTACAGTCCAACCTGGAGATAAAACAAGTACACAAATAGCACTGTGCAAGTTGCTGGGAATAAAAAACAATAAAAAATGCAAGTTTTCAAAGTCTCAAAGGAGTTTTTGAGGATTTCAAAGTCCAAAGGAGAGATGGACTTACACAGAACCTGATAGGTCAAGTGTTCATTAGCCAGTCAAAGGGAAATTCAGGGTGCTCTGGGAACTCACAGGCAAGGTCTTAAATCAGACTGGGAGAAAAGAAAGGACCTAGTAAAATAATGAAATTTTGGCAAGTTTTCCTGTTCTTGAGTTAGTGATTGCTACTGGAGAAAATCCCTCAACCATGCAGATTGATATCACTATAAATTCATTGTCCCTGACCGTAAATACGACTTAGTTATATCTTTGACTGTTGTTAGCTAAGTCCCTCTCCTTTTCCTCTAATCAATTATTCCAAATCTACGCCACTCTCTTCACCCCTGTACCCAACTACCCTTTCCTCAGCAGGCTGCCCCTCTCACTTCCAGGAGCCCCCGAAGAGTCCCAGTATTGGCCTTGACTTTAGCTGACCTCTAAAAACTAGTGATATCAAGGACTTTCTCTCCAGCCCTGCTTCCCCTTAAATTTGAGATTTGTCTATCAAACTACTGCTGGATATATCCATATGGGTATTTCACAGACATCTCAAAATCAATATGTCTAAGACCTGAATGCATCTCCTTTGCTTCAAAACCTCATCTTCTCCCTCAGAGTTCCCCAATCAAAGAAGGTACCACCATTCTCCCCAATTTGCATTTTAGAAAAATTTTTCTGGCTGGAACATGCCAAGTGCAGAAAGAATGTCCAGTTAGGAGGCTGCAATAATCCAAACCACTGCACTCCTTGTCATGGTATTTAGTACCTTATATGTAATTGTGTAAGACACAACACAGTCAAGTGATTAACAATATGGCTTTGAAGTAAGATGGTTCTATGTCTGATTCCTGGCACCACCACTTATCAGCTAGCCTGTTGACCTTGAGCAAATTATTAAACTTTCTAAGACTGGGTTACCTCCCCTGACCAATGGGGAGAATAATAGTACTTACTATATCAAAGGTTGTTCTGAGGATTAAATGAGATATCACGTATGAAGCTTTCAGCACTGACATTCCTAACTAAGATCTATGAGGGCAGAGACCATTTCTAGCTTGTTCTCCATTGCATCTGCAGGACCTGACAAAGAGAAGGCACTCAATAAATATTTGTTGAATGAATAAATGAGATAGTGTCATGCCTGAATGTACTAACAGTGGAGATGGAGAAAAGCAATGTAAGGTAGAGACCAAGGCTTCATCCTGAGTCACTTGTCCGTGTCATTAGTCACCAATTCCTGCTGATCCTGAATACTTCTCAGATCTGCCCGTCCTCTGTAACCCTACCATAGCTGCACCCATCCAGACATCATGATCTCTCACCAGGACTATAGTAGAACTTTCTAAACACTCTCCCTGCATCCTGTTTTGCCTCCTCATGAGTCCCTTCCAGACTGCCACTAGATGAATCTACTCAAAGCTGAAATGGGAACATGTCATTCCTTTGCTTAATGCCCTTCCGCATGGCTACTTTTTGTGTACAGGATCCAGTCTCAACTCCTCACACCTGAGGATACATTTTCATCTTCCTTTCCTACCGCTCCCTCTCTCACATTTGGTAGTCTAATAATGCTGGATTGGTCTTGTCTTCTGAACATACTGTGCTATTTCACGTTTTCATGCTTCTGAGAGGTCCTTGCTTATTCTTTCAACACCCTTCTCTCCTGTACCAGTTAGGATTACATTTGTTTGCAAATAGCAGAAAACACTAAACAGCAAATTAGAAGTTTCTTTCTTTCCCATATAAACAAAGTTTGGAGAGAATTGTCTGAGGCTGATAAAGCATCTCTGCTGTCATCAGAGACCCAGGCTGTTGCCTTGTGGTTCTGCCATGGATGTCTTCCATTTGTTCCTCTCTCCCTTCAGTACCTTCTCTAGGGCTTTATTGCATTAATCATCTCCTTTCTTCTATTATCACCTCTCCCTTTTCTTTGAGGGAAGAACCTCATCCTACAACATCCTTCCCTCTAATTACTCTTTCCTGCCATTTTACCTTTCTTACATCTACCAACTTACTTCCATCCTCGTTAACCACACTTCTTGAAAAAATAATTGCTACATGCCATGGCACATTTTCATTCTTAATCCTACTGACCTCTCTTATCTGTTGAAACTGTTGACTACCTCCCATTTCTCCTAGCTCTCTTGTCCCTTGGCTTTCACAACCCTGTTGGTTCCTGGTTTCCTTCCTACTTCTTCTATGGCTCCTTCTCCATCTGCTTTGTTGGGTTTTCCTCTTCCTTTGCTTGACTCTCAAGTGATAGTGTTTCTCAGACTTCCCTCCTTGACCCTCTTACTCCACACTTTCTCCACTAAGGCAATCCCTAGGTAATCTCACCAGTATTGATATCAACTCTCTCTGTGGCAGCTGTCTGTCTCCAGGGTCTGTTTGTTCAGTCCCCACTCCTGAGCTCGAGTCCTGAATTTCTAACTGCCTACTGAGAGGGCTTCTCATGTCTGTTCCTTCCATCCTTGGTTATGTGCAGTTCCTATCACCTCTTCCTACACTCTTGCAGAAACCTTTTATCTGATCTCTAATCCAACTTTCACACTGTCACCAGAGTTTCCTTCTATTTTTTAAAAATTTGATTGTTAATTGCTTTTTTGAAAACTTCTATTGGCTATCCCGTGTTTCTGGGATTAAATTCAAATTCCTAATCTGGCATATAAAGTTCCTTACAGAGTGGATCCAACCTACTTTCGTATTCTCTTCTCTTCCACTCAATGCCCCCCAACAATGAACTTTCAGTATTTCTAAAATAAACCATGCCTTTGACATTCTGACCTATTGGCCTGTGAGATCATCCCAACTCTATTTGATAAATCCCTACTTTATCCTTTAAAGTCCCCTAAATGTCATCTCTTCTCTGATATTTTCTTCTTTTCTCCACACAGTATTGCTACATTCTCTGTGCTTTTATAGTACTTTGTTCCTACTTCTAGTGAACATTTACACATGTGCAGATCTGTCTTCACCTCTAGATTAGGATCTCTTTGAGATTAGAGACTGCCTTTACCGTCCTTCCTAGCACAGTTCATAGTACCTTATAGGGGAATAAATAAAAATAATTAAATTAGGAAATAGGAATAGCTTTTACTCTAATAATAATAATTTTTGTTTTGGACATATTGAGTTGACATATTGAGGCTAAGTGGTGAGCAGCAACTCAGAAAAGACTTTACAGCCAAAGATGTAGATGTAGGAATCACCAACAAAGATAATAATAAACAACTGATTGGACCCCATTTATTTCAAGCATGGGCTAAAGAAACGTAGAACATCTGTAGGAAGTAGGGGAAGGGTTGATAATGGGAATTTGGGGTACAAAGGGAGAAAATCCATAAACATCCTTATTGGAAAAAAACCCATATTTGACACTTCTGCCTGGGGTCTTCTCCCCTCTAACAAAAGTATGCAGCCCTTCCACTAATTTGAAGTCCAAAATCCAGAAAAAGAATGGCTCAAAAGATATTTCTTCTTTTTCTTCTAGAATCAGAAGCTACCGAATTAAAATTTTCATTCTCCTGGCTACTTCAAACCCACCTTGTTCATTCTCCTCCTCCTCCTTTCCTGTTTTTGTAGGGTATGTGTGTGTGTTTCTGCCCCTTTTGCAAAAGTAAGAGAGTGGGTAGGGTGGAAATATCTGTTTTGTTCCCCTCACAAAATCATCAATAAACTGAAAAAGCTTAAGAATTTTTTTTTTAAATGGAAAAATAATATCTTTGCAGATTCAATGCATTTAGATAGAATTTTTTTCTCTACCTCTCCCCTTGTATTCCACTCCTTTGCTTTCTTAGTGCCTCTAGGAAATATAACACTGGCTAATGTAGATTATTTAATTAAACAAATAAAGTGAGTTCTGTGTTTCCAGATAACTACTTAACATTTTAAAAATTGATGAATTTAATTATATAAAAGTTAAGACTGTCTGCATTGAAAAATAACAACAAACACTATAAGCAAAGTCAAAAAGCAAAATGGCAACTGGGGGAAATGTTGCAACTCTTATCATACATAAAGGACAAAATTCCTTAATACATAAAAAGCTCCTACAAATCAAAA